TGGTGGTTTAGTTAAAAAGAAGTTTTCAAAAGCATTCAAAAGAATATTGAAGAGAAAGTGTCACAATATTAAATTAAAATGAGTTCTCATTCCAAACAAACTAGAAGGCATAGATGAGTATAATAAGAAACTTCAAAATTTATTGGCATAATCAACTATTGTAACATTGCATCATAATATGCATCACTCATATAGTTTTGGATGGCTATCACTTCCTTGCTGACGCATTTCAATGAGCATGGACAAGCATTAGGAACCCAAATCTCTTTCTTTTAAGCCATTTCTTTCCCATCCCCCCCCCCTCCGGAGTCCTAGTATAGTGCTTCTCTTCCGGTTCTTTAGAAGAATCAAGTGACTTCTCTCTCCTTCAATTATATGAGGAAAAAGGAACTGTCCACTAGTTAGGAAGCTAGAGATCTTGTTAGACAAATGAGATCTCTAGTTAGTTAATGAATATCACCCCTTGTAGGACATGTTGCCTAGTTGTGAGTCCTCTATCCGTATAAAATTTTGGAAATACACGATTGGAAACACACCCTTTAAGGAGTTAGTCAAAACCTTCCTCTCATCCTTATGTTTGTTCATCTCATGCATCTGTGTAAAGGACGTGAAACTGTTTACTTAGCGCCTATGGAAAAGAGATTTGAATCAATTTGTTGTGGTCTTATTCTTAACTTGATATATTAGGTAAAATAACATCACTAATTGGCAAAGCATGAACTAACCTTCGAGTTGTTGCTTCTTTTTCGTACTTCACTATTCTACCTTTCATTTATGCTTCTATTCTCTTAGTCTTCCATGCTTCAACCATTTTAGTTACGAGAATTTTCATATTATATAATGGTAACTTCCTACGATTATCGACTTCTATAATCAGTAAGGGGATCCCAACTCCAAAAATTGTTCTTCCGCACGATGATACTCATACATAAATTGTAATGTAATGCTATAAAAAATAGACTATTTGTGACATCCCCAAATTCACGGTCATTTTAAAAATTTTATTTAATCTTATTTTGAAAATCAGAGTATTCATTTAAAGAATAATATTGCGGAATTTGTTCCCAGAAAACATGATAAATATATTATCAAAGCATTTCCGAAGAAATGTATTTTTGTTTATATTAAAACTTTGGGATGTCATTGTCAATATAGAAACATAAGCATAACAGACCTTACATTCATTTACACTAGTGATTTACATCTCCTTTAATCTCTCAGTGTAATGTAGCTTCGTATAGACACCTGTGATACAAATAAACTGAGTGGGTCAGGTTGGGAAACCTGGTGAGTACATAGGGTTTTCAATCCACAATAATAAAGTTATTATGTTTCATCATCAAAGAATTAACCCAATTACCCATTCCCATTATCTTCTTTATTTCTTAAGGATCTACCCTAAGAATCATCTATCGTTCACTCATTCATTCCTAAGGATTGTCTTAAGGAATAAGCACGAAGTCAATTGCTGCTAGGGTTTATATAACATGCACTAAGTCCATAGTTGCTGTCGTTATTTGTTAGGTACTAAGTCCATAACTGCCAGAGTTGATCTCTTTTATTGACAATATTATTTTTGGGAGTCCACCCATACTACATGTCAATGGGTTTTTTATAGTACATCTGATGAACGTATTGTTCACAACACCTACAGGTTGCGAGTCTGCTACTGTTCCACTAGACTGTTTAGAATAGCTTGTGGTTGTTATTTATACTCTGATAGATGATTGGGCCATCGCTTGGGTCATCGCTTCTCATCATCTTTCACCTCTCATCATCTATATCATCTTTCATCTCTCATCTTTCATCTCTCACCACATCTTTCATCTACCCATCTTTACCCATCATAATTATAGGTATAAAATATGTATACAGTTTAAATCGAATAAAACATGTATATTTTGTATATCCAACATAGATATCAAGAATATAGACAATATGCACACATAGCACGTAATTTATATTAAATATTTCATATCTATGTGTAAGATGAAAGTAACTATGCACTCACTTGTTAAAGTGATAATTCCAAACTCGGGCAGAGCTTCGCTTCTAACGATTCTATTTTCCTTCGACGAATCCTAGTATTATTACCACTAGATTTTAGTCTAATATTTATTGAGACTATTTATGAGGGATATTGTTTTATAAGTGTTAAACAATACTCTTTAACCACTATGTACAGACAGGGCTAGATACGAAACAACGGAGGACAGAACCATTTTGGCATTATAGCACTTCTGAAATCCAACAACCCTATGCGGCCCTTCAAACCAGATTCCCCGTATCGCGGGTAGTTAAAAGATATTATAATAACACTTTGTATATTATATTTTATAATATATATATATAGATATATATATATATATATATATATATATATATATATATATATATATATATTGTTTATAAGTTCATAATAATGATATTGAACTTAAACATAAGTTATACTTAAAGTAGGGTAATCATAACTCACTTAGCAGGAGGTTTGGCTAGGACTCGGGCTCTGCGGGAGCAGAACTTCCGAGCCGAAAAGCTCTTCTTCTCGGAGTCCTCTGGAGTTCCAGGACTCACCTCTTAGCACTTGGGAAGTACTAAGGGTTGGTAGAGGTTTAGATAGAAGTTAGAGAGAGAGAGAGAGAGAGAGAGAGAAGGTTAAGGTGTGAGGAAAAGTGGTGAACTTCGCATGCTATTTATAGGCAGCCTGATCCTCGGTACGCTGGGCATTCCTTGGAGGAACGTTGCGTGTACGAGGGGACATGTGTCGCCTCCGGATGCGAGGCCGTGGGGAGAAATCAAGGGCTAGGATTGCGCCACGTCACCCTCCTCGCAACAGCTCACTCCCGACTTCTAAATTCCGTAACTTTCACATACGAGCTCCGTTTTCGACGTTCTTTATATCCACGCGTAGGTGGCGACGTACTCTACTACTTTCATTTAGACTCCACGGGCTAATTTTGAGTTTATTTTTAAAGTTATATTATAAGAGGCCAGGACAGGTAAAGTACGTTAAAAATTCATAACTTGTCATCTGACGTCCGTTTTCGTCTGTCTTTTTGTCGTTGAGTTCCTATTAATGAGATCTTCGATTCTCGTTTAGGTTGTGTCGGCTAAAAATCGGCCGATCTAAAATTCGAATTCCAGGCTGTGCATTGCTCTACTAAATCTTGGAAAAATCATAATTTCCTCATACAGAGTCAGATTTGGACGTTCTTTTTATGCATCCTCTCGGTTTAACGTATACTATGACTTTCGTTTAGATCGCTAAGGCTAAAAGTATTTTATCGCAAACTCACTTTTTACGTCACACAGCATCGTGCCGGTTTTGTCGCGAAATTCGACAAGTCATAACTTCTTCGTTATAACTTAGATTTCAGCATTCTTTATATATACGAAACCTTTGTGACATATTCTATAACTTAATTAATATTATTCTTTCTAAATAATCTTCTATTAAAAAGTCATATTTTGACGCTTACTTTGTCTAAATGGACTAGCCCGAATCTGCGGGTGTTACAGTGTTACCTAACATCAAGCCGACCTTGGTTATTTTTTATTACCACTTGTACTGAACCACTTTATTTTGAAGAACGTAAGGAAAATATACACTTTAAGATAATGATATGGATTAATAAAATATAATTAAACATAATTTTCAGAGCTACATATGAAATTTTTTACCATTATGGGAAATGTAGGCTACAAGTGAGGTATGATAGAATGATATGAAATTTTTGTAGTTTTATGTCTCTATATAGAGGTTTGATGATAGTGGTAGGCAGGGTATTAGGTCTAATATAACTATATGAGATGACAATTCATAATAAATGTTTGGATTTCATAGACGAAGTGTCTGAATTCACAATCAAAATGTTAATCCATGATAAAAATGATCTTTTGAAAATTTTCAAAAAACACCAACTATCATAATTTAGAGCTTACAAAGTACAACTTCCCAATATCCAAATACCGAGTGTGATATGTTTATGGATAACATTTGTTATAAAAAAAACAAAATGAAACAAACTCAACTCAAACGAAGTTCGTATGCAAAAGTTATGAAGGTTCAAAGTTGGATAATTTTTCATATTTTTACTGACTAACCTACTATGGAGTTAAAAAGGAGTATGACTTCTCGAGCATCAAATTTTGAGTGTGATATGTATGTGAATAGTCATTGCAACAAAAAATTCATCATTTTAATGATTTAAAAATAATATACATATTTACATAAAGTTATGAAATTTAGTGAATTTTCTTAAGGAAAATGACTCAAGAGGGTAACCAACTGTTGAGTTTGTTCAAATTTGGTCCCTTTTTTGTATCCAATATACCATCGAACTTGTTGTTTGTGTTCAGCATCGAAAATTCTTAGGGAAAATTCCTTTTACTCATTTACAATTTATATTGTAATTTTGATCCTCTTGCCTTAAAAAGAATACGATGTAATTTTGTTCTCTAAGCTTAAAATAGACTAAGACTATCTGGTATGGTTATTGATGAATTGGTGGCCACCTCATCATCAAACCAATCCACAAGATGCCTACTAATACCGGAGTGGTGTTCACTACGCGTAAAAATCCTCCTATAATAGCTTCTTGGCCTTAATATGTGGGGCATGTGGGTGAAAAACAAATAATGATTAACCCTTAAATTAAAAAAATTAATCCAAAATAAAATATACTTTTGAAATTTTATTTTATTTTATTTATTTTTTATTTTTGAATTTAGCCATATAAAGATTACGCGTGTGTTTATATATATATATATATATATATATATATATATATATATATATATATATATATAAATACCATTTTTGGAATTTTCTCTCTTGAAACCATAAATAGTTTTACAATTTTTACGATGAATACATTTTCCTTTTGGTAAACAACAAAAACTAAAATTAGGACCAGAATTCCTGTAATTGAAACTGTCAAGTGTCAGCTTCGACATGAATTCAAGCATTTGTCATTGGGAATTGACCACACCTGCCACCCAAACACACTACGCATTTTGACCTCTAGCCACCGTAACATCATCATCATCATTTCTCTCTCCCTCTCTCATATACACAGGAAAGAAACGTTTGAATTGCCCGTGCTTATCCAGAATTTAGGCTTCTTATACCTTTTTACGGTTTAAAATTCCCAGAAACTTGCACCATACAAGAATTTAACACAACCCCAGATTGCACTCCAGAAAGAGCTGCGTTTCATCGACTTAAAGTTTCCATTTTTATGGCCTCTCCTGCACTAACAAGATTCTTTATCATCTTCACTTTGCTTCCCGTATTCACAAATTCTATCCCCTTTGTTGTCTTTCATGGTAAGTGTTTCTCTTTACTTTTTGATCATTGCATGCTTCTATTTTGAGCTTCATAGACTTTATTTGGATCTTGTGCAAAACCTTTTAGTTGTTCTTAAAGTTTTGTATTTTTTATTGCTTAATCATGGAAAGTAAGTTATGCCGTTTTTTTGGATTTATATTTATCTCATATCTTGCTTTGATCTTGTTCATGTATCATTTGATGGTTTTATGGGATTTCATTATTATGGATTGTCTTGAATTTTCTGACAATTGATGAAAGATAGGGAAGGGTTCCTCATCTGATTCTGGATTTTGTTCCAACATTCAAGGGCATATGTCACTAACAATCTGCCATTGGTCACCCTATATTTCGTGATCTTGGTCCGTCTTTTGAGACCTTCTCTATTACACATCGGGCTATTAGGCCTCGCTCTATATTTCGTGACCTTCTTGCTGAAAGTCACTAGCTTTTCCTTGCATCCATGCACAATACTTCTACACCTATAAAATTTTGTTGGTAGTGGTCGTGGTCCTTGTCATCAACAACCACACAGCCGGCATTGCCGTAAAAATTCACTATGAAAGTTCATGTCCAGACTAAGCCACCTTTTCCGGCATCGACTAATGATCATTTCCAAACAATCAAGAGGATAATGTGTTATGTTAAACACTTATCCCTACACATCCTCATTTAATAGATACTCGGATGATGTAGATTGGGCTTGTTGGATTGAGATTAGACGCTCAACCTCTTTATGTTACATCTACTCATCCCAAGATTACAAATCAACAGACCCCATTACTTAGATATGGCAACTCTTTTTGAAAGTGACAGTAATAAGTAATAAGAACTATGTCTTCCAACTTTATTCTCAAAGAAATGGTGTAAGCAGAAGTGAAGCTGACAACTTCCTGTTGTGCCATCAATTTCTTTAATATTATTAAACATAATTAATTCAGACAATACTTAATGGAAAGAAAAAAGATTGGGCCTTAGCTTATTAATTAATTTGTTGGATCTTCCTAATTTCTTCTTCTATTATCAATTGTTTTATAAGTACATAATATATTAATTTGTTTACATAAACTTGTGTATATATAGGCATTTCGGATGGTTGTGACAAGAAAGAAGTCAAAAAGCTCACTGAACTTTTAAGCGAGTGGTCTAATACTCAAGGATATTGCATGTATGTTCTGTGTAATTAAATCGTAATTTAAATATAGATTCAAATGTGCATTAAATGTTGACAGTTTCATTATGTGTAGAGAAACCGGAAATGGAGTCTTGGGTTCTTGGTTTATACCCATTGACAAACAGGTGGTTCATCGATCTTGTATTGCTATAAATCAAATTTTAATTATTTTCCTAATAAATGATAGTTTTTGGGAAGATAAATTTTGTGTTTTTGACTTGGGATTTTGTGTTTTGCCTTGTAGACAGAGATTGCTTGCGAAAAGGTGATGAAACTGATGACAAATGCATTTTCTTGATTTTTTTTTTTCTCCAAACTCGTTTCTAAGTGCATATAGTTTTCAAAACTTATAGGTGAAAAATATGAGTGTACTCAGAGAAGGTTACAACATCATTGGACTTTCCCAGGTAAGGATGATCAGAATTGTAAACTTTTTTGCATAAACATGACATTTTTATGAAAAAGTTATTTCCCCAAGAGAGAAAAGGCGTGATCTTGTTATAAGTTTTTTAATAAAAATTAATCACTATATAACAAAAATTTTCCAATAGAAGAGCTTAAAAAAGGTACCGCAGTTTACAAACTGATTATAGCTTTCTTTAGGATAGGGGATGGGTGCGAAATTTCTTAATTTATGTTCTTATACTAAAATTAGGAGGGATGCAATAAAATCATATAAATGAGACTCATAAAGAGAATTATTAAAGAATCAAACTGAGTGGAAATGTTATAAGTGCTTTTGATTTTGTAGGGAAACATGGTTGGGCGTGGAGTTCTTGAGTTTTGTGATGGAGCGCCTCCAGTAAGTACATATTATAAAAGTATAAGCTCCATTTATTTCACAGACTAGAAATTACGTGACATGTGCATAAAAGGTTGTAATGCCTTTGACATATATTCGATCATATAATATCAATACTACTGTCAATAGGATAAAAGTTGGAATTTATGCACCATTGTATCGCCTTTTTCTTAAACTATACAACAAAGTGATTTTCTGTACCAAATACACAACAAAGTTTCATTTTAGTACCAATATGTGCATACAACATTGTAACCAAGCCAGTTATCTCATGATATGGCATAGTTTAATGCTTATTTATACAACAATGTTTCACTTTTTTACTGATGTATATAGGAAACTGTCACGAATTAAGCAACTGTGTTTAAACTGGTTATATATATCAGGTGAAAAACTACATATCGTTAGCAGGTCCTCATGCTGGGGAAGCATCCCTCCCACTTTGTGGTGTAAGTCTTGAATATTCTTAAGAAATACACTTGTATGCATATGTATTACTCATGAGGTTTCTTTGATTTAATAAAAAAAAACAGTGTAACAAATTGTTCACGAAAATCTTGTATTCTTTTTGCAGTCGGGTTTGATGTGCACTATTCTGGACCGTTTTACGCAGTTGGCTGTTTATAATGATGCTCTCCAGGTTAAATTTCACATCTTTTTCCTAGCTGAGCTAAATGTAAGAAATGTTAATCTAGTTTCATTCTCTTTATTATGGCATTTGTATTTTCATTTCTGATTACAATATTGTACTTTCATATTATTTCTTATATAGGTAGTTGGACTTTAAAAAATCTACATTTTATAGCAATGGGATAATCGGTTTAAAGGGTATTAGGTTGCCTATTGCTATAACTGGTAGATCGTTTCAAAGAATAATGCCCTATAAAAATATAATGTTAGAAAGTACAATGTTGTAACAAGAACTGAAAGTGCAATGGTATAATAAAATAATTGAAAAGTACACTGATATTTTAATGAGTATAATTAAGGTCATCTCCAACCCTACTACCTATCTCATTTTCGACAACCAAAATGGTATAAATTCATCTCCACCCTCACTCCATTTCTTGCACCATTTTGGTGTAAATAGTATAACACCCAAGGTTCTAAATAATCTGAGGTGTGACTTGGCGTCAAGGTCAAAGTTAAGTGATGATGAGCTTTGGCGAACCATGACGTTTTTCAATGCGCGACTATTTTATATACATTAAAAAGATAAATCATATAATTATTGAAATTTATCAAATATATCAAGTTTTTAGAAGTGTTATATTAATATTTAATATAAAAAAGATAACAAAAAGTTAATTATTTTAGGCTCGATTAGAAAAACAAAAAAAAAAACGCGATTAAAAAAAAACTAGCGTCATAACGCGTTAAGGCGTGCTTTGACACGTTATTTGGGCGTCACGCTTAACAAACCCATTTTAAACGTTTTCGTAACGGCTACACCAGGCAATGACACGCTATGAGGCGTGTCATGACGCACTTTTTAGAACCATGATAACACCAAATTTGGTATTATACTATTCCTTTTGCACCAAAATGGTGTCAACCTTTCAAGTATCATTTTTACTCACTCAAGTTTTATGTTTATTTATTTTTAGTTTATAATAAATGACTAGATATATTATAAATGTAATAACTAGTAATTATAATATAATATTATATATTAAATTGATACTTGTTAATAATATGCAAATAATTTATTTGGTTATAGTTTGTACTAATGTATTTCATAAAGTTATTACAACAAAAAAGATTGTAAATAAATTTATAAAAAGTTAATAAATTGAAGGGTGCTATTGACGATCTATATAAGTTATAAACAAAAAATATACTAGGGAATATATTTTTTTGTGTATGAAAAGAAATGATAAAAAAAAATAGAATAGGGATGGAGTTGAAAATATATTTGCACTATTTTCTTACATCATTTTTATGTAACAAAATGAAACTAGTTTGGAGATGGTCTAAAGCATACAAGTTAATCAAAGAAACCAGCACACCACGTCATTGAATGGTATTTTGGGAAGTTAATTAATAATCCACTATTCATAAAATTATATATTGGACTATCGTTTGGAAAGAAATTCAGGAAGTACACAATCTCTCTAAACTAAAGTTTCTATGTAAAATTTTCAATATTATTATCTCAAATGCAAAAATAAGTTCTAAAATGGGTCCAAATCTTGATCACTCGTGATGATAAATGCATTTATCATCCTCACATACATTTCTTAAATCAAATCTCATGTTTTTTATGTAATTTTTCATGTTCTTTTCTTTCTTGAGGATTTTCCTGAAACTTTATGTTGCTTGTACAGGAAAACCTGGCTCCACCAAATTACATCAAGAATCCCACTGTGAGTAAAAATACTTATTTATCTCTTCATTACAAGTTCAGAATATATGAACTAGAAGGACTAAATCACCATTTCGTTATGCAGGATCTTGATGCATATCGAGAAGCATGTAAATTTCTCCCCAAGTTAAATAATGAGTTTGAAAAAAACGCTACATACAAAGAAAGATTTAGTAGCTTGCAAAATTTGGTGCTTATAATGGTAAGAATACACATCTCTCCTCTTTTGGAGGTAAAATGTATAACTTTTACTATTTAAAAATAGCATAATCGACCTTTTTATGCATTTTTTTTTTTGAAATGTGTTTCAGTTTGATAAAGATTTAGTTTTGGTACCCAAAGAATCCTCTTGGTTTGGGTACTTCCCTGATGGAGCCTGGGAACCAATACTTCCAGTACAAGAGGTAATTAAATCTTTTTGCATCTACAACTTGTACTGTACAACCTATCAATGCATCCAGATACCCTATAGATTTTTTTGGTATAATTCATTATAAGCGAACATTTATTAATGACTTATACAGTACAACTCGTGAATGCTTTCCCGGTTCTTAATTTATAATATGTATCTGTACGTGCATTGATTGGGTAGTAAGGTACCATTCATCAAGTATCTTGTAGTCATTTATGATACGGACCATGCAATGAGGGATTGTATGGTACAAGTCAACAATGCATACAGGTGATCCGTGATTTTACATATGTATGTATAGACCAGACTATATATTGAAGACTGGATTGGCTTGAGGACGTTGGATGAGGCTGGGAGGGTCACATTTGTAAATGTGTCAGGTGGACATCTTGATATTACTGATGACGATATGAAGAAGTACGTTGTCCCATATCTAGTAAATGAAGCACCTGAGAATGGGATTCTAATAGAAATGTCTCGAGAGTCTACCACCGTAACAATTAAATTTTGATGCCACGGGTTTTATCAGAAAATTTGATCGGTGGATAACATGATCTTCAACTAAACGTTGTGTTTCACTTGTGGTATGATTTATTTTTTGTTCATGAATATTTCTCTTTTCAAATAGGCTAAGGTATGATATATATGCAAAGCCAAAAATTAAAGTACTCTTTGTACACATTATATTGGTGTTCATCTACCAAATTTCAAGCACATGATGTTTAGTGTTTAAAAACACATGTAACCAAGTAAGGAAGCGTTTGGGTTGGTCAAAAGGTTTCTCCCCTACACGTTATGGTTTTCGGATGAATATGATCCAAGGTCGTGCTTTAATTTTCTACTTCTCTCCAAAAAATTTATATGGAGGATGTATATAATTGTGAGATAAGTGAGTCTGGATTAAGTTGAATGGTTATACCGAGTGTGAACAATGTTTGTTATGATTTTAAACACTTCGATCATGGTATTATTATATAGATTAATTTATATACTCACACGACTATCACAATTAGAAAAAACGTCTTTTCCGAGGTACATATACCTTAGAAATTCCTATGAAATAGGTAGTTCTGAGGAATTCAGAAAAAATGAAGTTCGTAGGAATATACCTCCTGGAAAGTTGCTACGAGGGATTTCTTAGGAAACTTACGAGGCATGTTTGAGGAGTGTATGTTAACATAAACATATTTTATTTTTATCCATTATAGCATTTTACATTTTTTTTCATAATAGCAACATGCTTGATTTTTTATCCATACTGAAAACATACTCTAGTAACTCTTATTTACTATTAATTCTTATCTACTATAAAAATCACGTACCTCTATTTTTTCATGATAGCAAAATACTTTAATTATTATCTATCATATTCATGACAATATACTTTACATTTTTTTTTATCTTTCATAGCAACATACCCTTTGTTGCGACTTCTAGTTGTCAAAAGAGGTAGAGTTTTTCTCGTGGAATGATGTCCTCGTGACAACAAAACGAAGATATGAACTTCTTATACCGTAATCAATACGTTTGCATTTCCCTTTTCCTTCCACCGATTGCACGTACAAGTCAACATTACCCTACAGATGCTGAGTTAAGTCCTCCACATACCTTTCAACCGTGGCGCTAGTGTATCCCTCATACAAATTGTCAAAACAACATGATTTCTTATTTTACTAAAAGATGAGACACTAGTTATCCAAAAATGATAAAGATAACTTACACATATTTCTCTAGCATCACCAACATTACCAAAATATTTCAAAAACACCCTCATCAATGTATAAGTTTGCAAAACCACAAGTAAATGAAATCTCAATGACAAGTCCAAAGTGGTATCATCACTAAATTAATACTCTATGTAGCTACCTAAAAGTCCCTAATCCTTACCAAGCCATTAATCATGCTACATCTACCAATGCAAGACAAAAGCAACAAGCAAAGAAACAAGTATTAGCATAGGTTAAGTGAGTCAACCATAGTACAATGCTAAGAAACATACATATCCTATAGTGGGTCAATAAATATCACATAGCATGAATACACATATACACATTGCACATCATCACATTCACATTTTCATCATATGAGCTTTTATTATTGTCCATCTTTATTATTCATCTTTTAGTATTTATTAAATAATAATTAATCCCTATTCTCTCCTCTGGTCTCATCACTAACCTGAAAGGTAGACACACACCCGTACGTATATCTCCAACCCAAAAGTAAGGCGTGTGAACTACTAAGTGATCGGGTCAACCTTCCCTGCTATTGGGATTTCTATGCATCAAATACACTTTAAACTAGGTAGCAGAAAAATCAATTTATGTTATACCTAAGTGTACATGCAACCTATGGATCTATGGCTTCATACTAATTACAGCTACCCTATGAAAACATAAAACAAAGAAAGAAACACATACATCTTATGTACCCCTTGATCTCCATTCATGAGATCATGCCCTCCACAAGGTTTCTTGCATGAGAGGACCCAAACCAGAATCTCTCTAATGGTATCTCCTCCAATGACACCAAAGAGTGGAATAAAAAGAACTAGGAGAAGGGTCAATTTCACAAAACTTTAAGACGGTTAAAAATCATCCCTTAAAGGGAAAGAAAGATAGGTTGGCCATCCAATGCAATTACTAAACTCTAATCTAAACAACATTTAGCCCTTAGATATGTGATCAACTATTCTGTAGTTCTATGGTATATGTATGAATTCGAGACATAAATAATGGTCAATCTCAGAATTCAAGAATATATTTCCCGATATAGATTTCTGATGACTACACCTGACTACTAAATTGAACACATCAATTACAGTTAGTCTTGGGCCGAGCACTTCAGATGTCAGAACCAAATCATCGAGTGACCCATAGATATCGCTTCTTCTGTTAAGGCAGAAGGAACAATTAAACGTCGTTTACATAGTTTTTGTCTACTTCATCATGTCACACATGGACATACCCTTTGTTACTACCGGTTATGGATAAACGTTGAAGTAAACCAATGCATAAAAAAATTATAGAGAAAAACCCCACATGAATCTTTGTTTGGAAAATAGAAGATATTATTGTCTTAGAATTACTCGTGACTGTATCCATGAAGTATTATCTAAGAGTGGGTTGCTCCAATACTTAAATCTCTATTAAGTACTCATGAGTATTAGCGTAATCTCTATGATATTCCCAATCATTACGGACAATCCACTAATACTCATGACAGTCTAGAATCACTACTTTCTTTTAAGAGTATGACCGACTATCGAGATTTGAGTAAATTAATACTCGTGAAGTGGGTTCCAAACATGGAAAAGGAGAACATAGTAATTAGATAATTAAAATGACTTATCTCTATCATATATTAAGATCTCCACCTAATAATCGCCAAATCAAATTAAGAGTTATACTGCTTAAGTTCTCATGTTTAAAACAAACTAAACTAAAAGTGTTTAAGCTAATTCATTTGCAAATCTAATGCTTCTTGACTTTGTTTGACTGTAAGACTTTGTCACTGATATTGGCTTAGGGAATGGATCGGCAAGATTATCTTCCGATATGACTTATTGACTATGATGTCTTCACACTTGAACAACTATCAAATGTAATGGTACTTACTGAGTATGTCTCATGTGAGCTTGTGTGACTTGGGATCCATACTCAAGGTAAGTTCACCCTTATAGTCACAAAGAACCTTCAAAAGGACGATCAATGATTAAATTTCAAAAATGATGTCACTAATGAATCTCTTTCTATCACATAGTTTCATTTGCAATATGCTTTATGTTTGTTGTTAAATCCACTCTGGTGTACTACTTGGTACTCTTCTAAGCTAATATTTCAACATTCGGTAAAAGCACAAATTCTGACTGCAAACATAATCATCATTATTAGTGTGGAACTTAGCATCAGCATAACCTTTACGTTGATTTCTTCCATACTAACAGGACACTTAGGAATGTTCTTGATCTTGATTCTTTGATTCTTTCCAAATAAAACGGGAGTTGTCATGCTCAAGCCATACGAGTCATCAAGTCTGGTACATGTCATGGCATATATGATTGGTCCCATAGCAGAAGCATATGGGACACGAATCATTTCCTCTAGCTTAATAGTAGAACTAGGATATTAGCATCGCTAAATGTCTTTCGATTTCTATCAAGCACGAACTCCTTTCGATTTCTGCATGTAGAGTTTCCTAAACATTCTATATACTTGAGCTAAATCTAATGAATGACTTAAATCTATTTGTATAAATCTTAATATTATGTACATGTGTTGTAACTCCCATGTGTATCATAGTGAAACAATTCCCATACAAAGCCTAGCTTTTACACTTGCTATGTTAGAATATAGTTTCCTATTATTCGTACACTATCTATGTACAGTCCAAGGGTAACAACAATGCTCCCATCAGAATTGTCATATATATGGCCCATTTATGTTTTTGGAAATTCAAACTCCTTGAACTTTCTAATTGAAACAAAGATTCCAATTACTCCCACTAGCTGTCACATATGCATGGCTCATCTTCCTTCTAGAAATTCAAATTCCTTGAATTCTTTCATTGTGTGACAACCCGAAACTTTTTCCGTTATCCTTACTCAATTTCCGTTAATCAAAATTCGGGTTTTTATTTAATTCCGTCAAATTTGATAGTTTGGGAAAGACTTTGCGTTTAAATAAATCAATTCGGATTTATTTCCGTTCACGTTAGTATTATTTTTGAACTAACGGGATATTCTAAACATTAGTACATCAAAGGAATCGGTGTTAGGATGAATTTGTTGAAGTTTTAGACATGAAGCAAACCGAAAACCTCCTCAAAAAGGAGTTTTCGGTCAAGACCTTAGAGTTTTCGGTCAAGGTGACCGAAAACCCCATCTTATATATATATATATATATATATATATATATATATATATATATATATATTCCATGATCATTTGGATCATTCTTTCCTTTTCAAAGCCAGAAAACATCCATTCTCTCTCTCAAGTATCATCGAGTTCTTCATTTTGATCTTCAAATTCTCGAAAAATGTAAGTGTTTCTTTCACCTTGATTTGTTATTAGATCTTCCTAACTAGCATCCCCCTTCGATTTCACCCATTAACTTCATTTTTCTGGGTTTAATCTTCAAGAACACCAAAAACACACACTAGTGTTTTGGTCCAAAAATCAACTCTATTAGCCTCTAAATCGTAAGTATTACTTTCTGCACTTATTATCTAGTAGAAACTCTTGTTTAAGGCCTTGAAATCATCATTTCCCAAGAACAAAAGGAGTTTTCGGTATAGTGTATCTCCTTAAACCGAAAACCCTAAAGAAAGGTGCCTTTAAGACCTTAAAACTCACTTAAGGCTTCGGATAAAACTTAGTACCCCTTTGCATGTTTGAAAGCCCTTGAAAATCATCACATGCACCAAACATCATGAGTTTTCGGTCACCTTCATGGACCGAAAACCCTTCATGGACCGAAAGGTGTTCTTAGACCTAAAACCTCTTAAGACCGAAAACCCTTTGGCCGAAAACCCCAAACATGCTACTTGGACCAAAAACTTCTTTAAGTGGCTATACAACCCTTTTATGCAATCATTTGTGATTGTAACACTTCCATATAAGTGTTTCC